ACACACACACACACACATATATATATATATATATATAGTATATATAATAATATATATATATATATTTAAGGACACATGCACTCCTATGTATACGAACAAACATTTCTGGATATATGGACACATAACATTACGGATATAGATATATATATACAGACATATACACTCACATGTATGTGCATATTGCCTGATATAAACGCGTGTATGCATATACACAAGGACGTACCGTTTTAAGTGGTCCCTATAAGGCCTAACAAATGGACTTGTCCTCGACAGAAGCATACAACTACGCACAATGTTTGTGGTTGACTTGGATAGTATCCATAGGCCGGTGTTGTGCACGTACATGCACATATCTGATGAGGACATGTCGCCATACACACTTATGTACACGCGTAGTTGTACTTCACGCACAAGCTTGCAGAGTTGAATGCGCTGGTAGTCTATATGCGCATGGTAGTAACTTCAGCCTGGAATGCAGTTAAATGAATAAGCAGTGAACTCTAGTCTCTACATGCATGTACAAAACGTTGATCGGAGTCCTCTGGGTCGTTGTGGCATCCGTCATTCTAAAACCCTAAACCCTAAACCCTAAACTATACCAGAATCCTTTTACCAGAATACGTGTTCAAGGAGTTGATATGTTCTTACGATGTTTCTATTTAATAAATTACCTGGTGATTTACATACATGCCGCCCAGTTTAGCTATGTACACTGGTACACCCACACAACTGGTTATTGCACGTACCTTTTGACACCCTTGCATGAGTGGATCAGTTTGATTTTGCCCTTCTTTAGGCCCACGTAGTGCGAGGATAGGCTACGCTGCCATATATCGGCATACACTGACACACACACACACTTATATAGCCAGTCTTATATATGCATGCATCCACCATATGTTTGCGGCATGGCCACAAGGTATATCGCGGCAAAAGATATATTTTGGAATGGGCTGACAGGTTAAACGACTTACTAAAGGCTACTAAACCCTACAATATATAACACCAAGCCAAGCCTCTACTACACATCGGATGTAGCTAGATAGATAGAGCCCGTGAGGATTAGACTGCGATACGTTTGTAATAAACGTTAAATTATACGTGCACCTGAGCGACCACGCTGTCATACTCTAGAAATCGGACCTGAAATCCGGTCGGTATGTTTCTCTTCAACTATTCCGGTGTACATACACTATAGCGGATTACCGTCGAAGCAGGTCTTCTATATATACCAAAACGTACTTGCAATGGCGTAACATAAACAAAGTATGGCTGTCAGGGCCTCAACACTTCCTATGTGGGCTTGATGTTTAGAGACAACGGATTGTTCGGAAGACATAGAATCATTGCAGACTTTCAGGTGATATACTGACAGTACTACACACGAACCACATGCATAGGCGTACGTGTACTGGAATAAGCGCTTGTGTAGGGCATCAACGTTTCCCAAATACAAATGGGTTAAGCTTTTAGAGGTAGTGAATTGTGCGGAAGGCATGCAATCGTACGAGACTATTAGGCGACACACTGATGAAAGTACTACATAAGAGCCACATGCATATGAATACGTATACGTGAATCGACATCTGTGTGGGGAATCTCCGTACAACGTAACGACATTTCTTGTGTAAAGACTCACAATATCGATCACGCGCAAATACATATATTTGATATGTGGTAGAAAAACCCTAAACCCTAAACCTTTTATAGACACTTCACTCAAAGATGTATACATAATTCGCTACACGTGTCTTCACTATCAAACCGAAAACAAAGACCATATACGCTTCTTGGTTGCAGGTGCACATATGTTATCTGCGCTTAACGCCTGCGGATATCTCTCTTCGGATTGTCGCAATTCAATACAACACCATACAGACTACCCACAACAGAAATGTCGGTGTAATGTGAGTAGGTAATTCCTAATTGCGAATGTCTCTCTTCAGAATCTCACATTTAACTACTACACCAAACAGACTGACCATAACAAAAGCGTTCTAAACCCTAAACCCCCCAACCCCCCCAAATCCTAAAAACCCAATCCCTAAATTACGTATATCTCTCCTCTGATCCTCGCACGCTACAGCCACACCAACCCACGCGACCATACATACCCCAAGCGGCCCATGCGACGGCTCTTCAGTCACACACTACACAAGCTAAAGAACGAAAGCAAGCTGGATCTCATGACACGTGTGCATCGGCTAGAGTCTGACAAGGACGAGATGTCCCTGCGGCTGAGCTCGCTGAAGGACTCGTCCAAGCGCATGGCGCGGTCGCTATGGCAGCGCACCTACTGGTACTACCTGGCGCTGATGCTGGTCATCTTCGCGGTCACTCCACAGGGTGTGCTGCCGGAGGTGGTCGATGATATGTCCCGCAATGCCACCGCAACGGTATGGTTGGTGTGCGTATGGTCAGGCTACTGAGCTGAACCGAGCGCAAACCCTAGACTATAATCTCTGACAGTCAGCCCTAAACTCATTGAGCACATGTACTTCACTCTAAATCCTAAACCCTAAACCCTAAATCTATTGCCCACAATACCCCACCCTCCCAACCTACCGTCGCCTGTTTCTCCGTCCCACACAGATGTTGGGTTACCATCCCATCGACTACATGTTTCCGGCCGAGAGGGGTGTGAGTGGGGGCTCGTTGGGCAGACGCTTGGCAGCAGAAGGCCTGCAAAAGCATCACCCAGTTCTTCTGATACCGGGCTTTACCACAGTCAGCCTGGAGTTGTGGAAGCCACATCCAGGTGAGGAGAGCGTTCTGGGGCACTGTGCCGGTCCAGTCCCCCCGTGGATAGGACAGGTGGCCTATATGTTTGATGGGGTGCGTGTACTGGATATTGAGAAATAAGTGTGTATGTTAATGAATGTGGTCATGGTGGGGCATTGGGGTGTATTTTGATATGTATCAATACGTAGTGTGTGCTATAATGGATAGGTGCGTGACGTACGTATATGTGCACAAGCACGCATGCACAAACGGATATACAAATGGCGCTTGATAAGAAAGGGTCCGGCGATCTAAGGCATTCTAGAGACACATTCGAGAGTATCGTCAAACATACTATAGCACACTCGTGGAAAGGAAATAAAATTTTGTACAGGGTTTAGGACTTAGGGTTTATAGGATATATAGGCACTCCGTGCGTATGTAGTACGTGTGAATGTATATGTAAATTGAATACACGTCTGCACATATTGTGCCCAATTACCACGAGCGTTCTCTCAAAGAATAGGGCTATTCTTTAGGAGATTTCCGAATCAATACATCCCAGGAGAGGACATACGTATGCATATATATATATATATATACATATATATATATATATATATATATATATATATATATATATATATATATATATATATATATATATATATATATATATATATATATATATATATATATATATATATATATATATATATATATATATATATATATATATATATA